CAGACCCTGAGGTCACATCAGCATCCAGTGTGGGTACACCTTTCTGCCACCTGGCCACACCTCTTCCTGTCCCTGGCCTAGATAAGTCCTGGCCCAGGGGTGGGTCGCCCCTTTTCCTTTTCAGCCATGCCTCTCTACCACGCATGGTGGGGGCAGCAGTTTGGTAAATAAACTTCTTTTCCTGCCTGAATAGCTCATGGTGTTCTCTTCTTCGGCTACCTAAGGAAACCTACTTAATATACCTTACACTAATCACAAGGAAGTAGCTTGGAAGACTTAATCTCCAGCCCCAGAGTTCCTGGAGCAGCAGAGAAATAAAATGCTGGTTATACAAATCATGATGTCAAACACAATTGTTTTTTAAAGAAGGATTTTGCAAAACGTTGCATATACTTCTGACTAAGAAAAGTTTCCTGTTGAGTGTTAATGCCTCATGCCTATAATCCTAGCTGCTCAGGAGGCTGAGATCTGAGGATCATGGTTCAAAGCCAGCCTAGGCAGGAAAGTCTGTGAGACTCCTATCTCCAATTAAGCACCCAAAAGAGCCAGAAGTGGAGCTGTAGTTCACGTGGTAGAGCACTAGCCTTGAGCAGAAGAGCTCAGAAACAGTGCCCAGGCCCTGAGTTCAAGCCTGAAGACTGGCAAATGAAAAAAAAAAGAAAAAAGAAAGAAAGTTTACTTCCAGTAGTCAAGTGAGAAAAGAGCAGTGGACAGAAATACTATTTAATAAACTCTTAACATTATTTGAAAGACATCCTAGAAATTGATTTTTTTTAAATAAATGACTTCGATGTCTATAACAGTCTTCTGAACAGATTCAGGGGGAAAGTGACACTAAGATAACTGTGCCCTGCTGACTCATTCCAGTAACCCTAGCTACTCAGGAGGTTAAGATCTAAGGATCTCAAAGTTAGATGCCAGCCTAGGCAGTCTATCTTGAGAGTCCATCTCCAATTAACCAGCAAAATGCCAGATCAGAAGCATGGTTCCAATTGTAGAGCAACAGCCATGAACAAGCAAGTGAAGAGTGAAAGACCCTGAGTTCAGACTTGGCACTAGACAATATATAGCGAAAGGCTAATTGCAGTTACAGGATTTATCACAAGGTAAAGAAAATAATCCACTGTTGAAGATCTATATTCCTACCACTAGTTTTTGTACTACAGCATAGTTATTCAGAAAAACTAACACGAGCCACTCCTTCCAACCCAGTGGCCAGTCTCCATGACATGAGGATTTTTAAATCTTATCATGTTTATAAACTTGTACATAAAAATTACTGGGAGAAGTGGTGCTGTAGCTCAAGTGGTAGAGCACTCGCCTTGAGCTGAAGAGCTGAGGGACAGCACCCAGGCCCAGAGTTCAAGCCCCACGACCAACAAAAAAAAAAAAAAAAAAAATTACTGGGAATTCACATTATAGCTGGTGGTTTACAATATGAAATGGACAAGAACACTTCTATACAGTTCTCTTCTTCTCACTAGGAACATTTAAACACTATTTAATTAATTTAACACAATTTAAGACAAGAAACTTTGTTTCTTGTATTGTATGATTCATGAATTAGATCTTAGATTTGAGGGGGTAGGGAGAAGCAGCCATTATTTGAGAAGTAGTCATAAAGACATTTGTGAAACCATATATGAAATTTGTCTGGCTATTAATGGACTCTTGATATTGATCACCACAATGTGGTTGTAAAAGAGACTGTCCCAGTCATTACACAATGCACAGTGACCTATTTCAAGCAACATCAGCAACTAAACTGACAAATGATTCAGAAAAATAATAATAATAATATACAGAGACCATAAGAAGAACAAAATAAAGGGACAAAACCACAAGCAATTTTCTCAAACACCAGCGGTTTTTTGAAAGTTCCTTATACTTATTGTAGCTTTTCTGTAAGCATGAAAGCACAGCAAAATTACAATTAACAACACAAATTTAAGAGTGTGAGGAGAAGGAGTAATATTCTCTATTCCTCCCCCATCTACTTTAAATGTATTTCAGCCTCCTAAAAAACAAAGCAGTAAATATTATTAAGCAAAGATAGATTCTCTGGCAAATTAAGAACATAAATCAGATCCTTGAACTTCACCCTTAGCATCTTACGTGATTAATGATGAGAACAGACAGGTCTGAGGCAGAAAGAGAAGAAAATATAACTCAGAAATTGGAAAAGAAACAGAAGAAAAGAAATTGGAACACAAAAAGGAGGTCAATATTACCTTATTTCAGAAAGAAGACACAAGTGACAATAAGGTGATAAGTTTTCGAGAAATAATATAATTGAGAATTTTCAGAATCAGAAAAATCACATCATTCACCAACCACTGTACTATAGAGTATAGTCACCCCCTTATCTTTGGTTTAGCCATGCAAAGTTTAATTACCTACCTGTAGTTAACCATAGTCCAAAATATTAAATGGAAAAATGCCAGAAACAACAATTCATAAGAAATATTCAGGTCATTCCCAGAACTATAAGTGTCGTACTTCATCTCACCTGGGACATGAATAATCCTCTTGTCCACAGATAATATCTATACTGTGTACACTATTCACCCACTGGTAAACTTTTAGCCAATCTTGTAGTGGTATTGCACAAGAGCAGTGGTACTGGCCATTTTATTACAGTATTTTATTATAGTTCTACTTTTTCTTAGTTCTTCTATTTTCTTATTGCTAATCTCTTATTGTATATAATTTATAAATTAAACTGTATGCAGGTATGCACATATAGGGCAAAGCACAGTATACATAGAGATCGGCACCGTCCAATTTCAGGCATCCCCTGGGAGACTTGGACTGTAACCCTGGAATAAAGGAAGACTATGGTATTGAGAGCTGTACCATTTTTTACAAACTGGTAAATAGTCTGGTAACCTCTGAACTTTGGTGCAAATGCTTACACTTGCTCTGAAATAAAAGAAACATTTTTTTTAACCCCACTTCAGTCTTCAGAATCTGAGAAGTGTTAAAAGATACAAATCTTAAACCAGGTGCCTGCGGCTCATGCCCGTAATCCTAGCTACCCAGGGGCTAAGATCTGAAGATGGTGGTTTGAAGTCAGCCCAAGCAGGAAAGTTCAGTCCAGTCGGAGATTCTTATCTCCAATTAACCACCAAAAAATCTGGAGATGGAACTGTGGCCCAAATGACACAGTGCTATCCTTGAGCAAAAAAAAACTCAGGGCCAACACCCAGGCCTTAAGTTCAAACCTCAAGACAGGTGCACGCACATGTGTACTCGCATGCGTGCACACATGCACACACACACACGTGAGTGCATTCACACACACACACACACACACGTGCACACATGCACACCACAAGGCCAAACATCTGTTTGTCCTGATCCATGAATCACATTAGGATAAACCTGTCCCACCTGCTTCTGAGGGTGAAGGTCTCCCCTTCTCACCTGCAATGTGCTGTGTTCACCCTGCACTGACACTTCAAAGATTTTGCAATCATCCATATTTCTAGTAACAATCCTTATCTGAAAACTTTCAGATTTCTGAAATTTCAGATTTGATATATGAAACAGAGTATTCACACCATAAACAACATGATACTCCCTTCAGGTACTGGGACATCACTAGATAATTAACCAGCTCATATAGCCACACTAAATAGAATAACAATAGGAAAAAATAATCTCTTTTACAACTAAAAGGGCTTTTGAAGTTTCCAGCATTTGAAGGAATTTAAGGATTAGGCACTTTGGTCTTAATTCACTTGAACAAGAAGAATAGCTCAGGTCACAATGACAAGTCACAGCAGAATTCAACAGAGTTGAGAACCACCCATGAGAAACAATGCAATTCTATCTAAACTGGGGAAAAACCACCCAAATATCTGACCAGATCATTGACAAAGACGTTAATGAGAATAAAACAAAAAACAAAGCAAGTAAATCAACTTGAAGAATGCATGTCAGGGAAAAAAGCAAAATTAAAATCAACTATCAGGATCACCAAGCAATCAATTTTATAACACACAGCATGTGGTCAACCAAGGGAAATGGAATCCCCAGCAGCTCCCTAGAAGTTAAGGGTGTTCCTAACAGATAAAAACCATGGCAGTACTAGAAAGTGGCATACCCAGTGTGTCAGGAGCAAAAAAGTAGTCCAGAAAAGACTATTTATCCATATTCCTTATATAATGGTAGAAGCAGAAAGCTAAGACAACTGACAAGCCAGGAGCTGACTAACCACAAACCTCCAGCAGCAGGTGTTCACTGACCAGGATTTTCAATCGGCGGCTTCCTTTTGATCCCATCAAAGGAGGTTTCCAGTAACTGTTTACTATTAAAAGTACAAATTCTAACCCAGGCGCTGGTGGCTCATGCCTGTAATCCTAGCTACTCAGGAGGCTGAGATCTGAGGATCATGGTTCAAAGCTAGCCCGGGCAGGAAAGTCTGTGAAACTCTTTTCTCCAATAAACCACCAGAAAACCGGAAGTGGCTGTAGCTCAAGTGGTAGAGTGCTAGCCTTGAGCTGAAGAGCTGAGGGACAGCGTTCAGGCCCAGAGTTCAAGCCCCACAACCAACAACAAAAAAAAAGTATAAATTCTACCTCAGGTCAACTTGAATAATTTGTTGGTTGGGTCCACAAAAATCATAAAAATCAGTTTTAAGTAACTTCCACTTAACAATGAAGAAATGTTCATACATTTCTCCTGTGATACATGATCTGGGAGTTTATGTGACTACAGCCATGTACACAACATATCTAATGAATTCCATAAAGATCTAAAATCAATTTAGGAATTTATTTTCTCTAGAAGAGTAGTTCAATAGTTGAATATAAAATGGACCTCTATATAACATTAACTATTAACAGATCTGAAAATGATTTCTATTTCAAGTCCAAATGATGACAATGCATAACCTTCACTTCATTAACACAATGTTTATTCCATACGACTGGACAGCAGAGCCATTGGATAAAATAAAAAACACAAGAAAGTAAATGGTTACGGTTGTCTCCTACCTCTGCTCGACCCTCATAGTAGGTTAACATGGACTGTGTAAGGACGAAAAGTCTCTCTTTGTAGTTTAAAGGTGACGTCTTCTTTTTCTGCTGTGACCTTTTAATAAGAATCTCTTCTAGAATAGTGTTAAAATTCATCTCGGTCTTCTGATCACGTCGTCACCTGCCATTGAAGATCCAGGTATTCTAAAGTGAGAAAATAAAACAGAGAAATGTGACACTTTCAGTTTCCAAGGATGTTGCCATTTCAAGCCACCAATACAAGTCTTATTTTCACCCCAACTCTATTACTGTTACTCTCTAAATGGTTTGAAAATGCCGGGCAGGGGGTGGCAGGAAGAAGCTATCCTCTTCTCCTGCCTGAGACTTCATCCTGTCTTGCCATTGGCTGAGAAAACCTAACCAAGATTTCTCCTGATGATGACTCAGGCCTTCATTTTTCCTCAGTATCCCTTAGAACTCTGGCTACACTCTTTTACCATTTGATAACCAGGAAGAAATTCCTCAGGTGGAAAAGTACATTCCATTATCTGAGTAGCTGATTTAAGATGGTATCTGAATAGCATAAAGATTTGGTACATAAAACCGATGAGCACACAGTATCTGGTCATCATATTAACATAAAACTCTGATGAACTCCTGTAACTCACTGAATAACCACCACCCAATAAGACACTTCCACCTTTTCTGAGGTTACTTTTCAACAGTGTAAGCTCTATACAGTAGCTCCTTCATTTATAAAACATGGAGACAGGTAAAGTTTAAATGAAATGTAGGAAAGAATTTATTTATGTGAAAATGCTACATACCTATTTACTGTTGCTTTTATTAGTTTTACTGGTGATTTGCTATTGCATTTAATTCCACTGTTTTCCTAGATTCACATTAAAACCTCACATGGACCATAGACCAAAAACAGAAACTTCCCAACTGGGAATATTCTTAAATTATTTCATTTAAATCTCATCAAATTAAGTTTTCAAAGATTCATCATGTCATTTCACTCATCAGAAATCCTCGAACTGTTTGCCCATCACTTTCAGGATTAAACCAAAAGTCTTCGGTCTGACCCTGCGGTTTGTCCATCATGTGGCTGCAACCTGACATCTAATTTTTTACTTCTACTCTTCCCCCAAACACTCCACACACCACACAACAGTCCACCAGACTTCCCTTACAGCATTCATTCCCTGGTCTAGAGGACTCTCCCCACACCTCTCTCTCTACCATGAAAACTTTACCTACTCAAAACTTACCTCCTTGCTGTAGCCCTTCTTGATTTCAATTAATTTAAAAGTTTTCCAACTGCACTACCGACAATCTCTCTAATTCATCATAGGACTAATCCTATTCTACCATATCAGTAGCAATTATTGAGATACATTAATATCTCATCTGACTGAGAAGTTCCTAAAGGAATGGTTTTCAACCTGTGTTCATTAGATTCACCTAAGGAGATTTTTTTTTAAATATAGATGTAGAGACCTCACTTCCCCTTTTTATTTTTTTATTCACGGCAGGGTAGACCCTAACATTATTTTTGCACACACACAGAATTGAGAGCCCCTATCTTAAAGAAAGATCTGAGCTCCAGCGCCTCTTGTACTAGATCCTGAACTCATTAACCCACAAGCCATCCCAACTGAATAGTGAAGAAATTGTCATCTAAGTTAGTCTTCTTGTTCCATATTGAGATTCTGGCACTCAATTTTGTTTTCATAAGAAGCAGTTGGTATGCAAATACTACTTCTTTAGAAATTATCTTACCATCTTTGTTTAACGTATTTCCAATGAATGCTAAAAATGACTACTTACAAGAAAGGCTCCCCAAACTAAAGGTTATTTCTAGATTGAAATAAAACCTAGTTGAAGCACATCTTGTAGCATTTCAAAACTATGGGGATAAGTAAGAGAATCTGCATGCTTAAAAGCAAGTATCACAGAAAGGCTCGAAATTTGGAATGACAGTCATCAAGAGTGACACAAGAAGCTCAAAGACAGAAGGAACCCAGAAAAATCTGGATGATCCTGATTTCTAATTTAAATTCTATATTCAGCTACAATAAAAAGACAGAATCACAAGCACATTTTTCATGTATGCAAAGCTTTAAATTTGGGACCTCCTGTTCATGCTTTTCAAAAAGCTACTTGATGATGTATTATGCCCCAAGAAATGCTACTTGATGATGTATTCTACCAAAATGAGGCAGTAGACACAAACATCCACATGTGCATGTGTATGTGCATGTGTGCATGCACACACGCACACACACAGGAAACATGGGTTCCGATACAAGAAAGGAGATTCCCCCAGATGATGATGAAGACTAATGAATGACACTAAGCAAGAGACAGAGAGATTAACCAGCCCAAATGGAATCAAGTCAGAAGGTTCTTGGACAGAAACTCTTCTAAGCAATAGAACTGAATATATGGGGAAGAAATGTATATCAGTGAAAGTTAGCCAACTTAAAAAAAAATCCTAGGAAAACCAAAAAAAATACAGAAAAGGAAAAATAACTATGATATGTCCTAAGTTTGGCTATAAAGAAAAATCCTATCATCATAATAAGGTAAATAAATAATCAACCTCCTAGTATTAGATACATTTGGGGTAGGAGTTTACTTCTGGGTGGGCTACGTCCTTTATAGTGAAAGCAACAGGAGAAGGAGAAGGAACAAGGAGCAATGAAGCACATTTCTTAGAGGTTGACAAAACTCAAAACACATTTAGCTGGCTTTAATATGAAATTTGTGAATAGAGTATCATCCAATCTATAAAACAGAATGATAACTCCCATAGGGCAGAACAAAGAGTCCTGAAAAGTACGATCAAGGAAACAGAACAACGAAGTTTTAAATGCTGACTGGTTAGCATCAAAATCTTTCAGGTTAACTTTTTATTTTTGAAAGCTTAAAGCAAAAAAGACTTCCTTTTATTTTTTTCTGTCGGTTGTGGGGCTTGAACTTAGGGACTGGGCACTGTCCCTAAGCTGTATTAGCTCAATGGTAGCACACTACCATTTTGAGCCCCAGCTCTATTTCCAGTTTTCTGGGTGGTTAATTGAAGATAGAGTCTCACAAACTTTCCTGTCCTGGCTGGCTTCGAACCACAAGCCTCGGGTCTCAGCCTCCTGAGTAGCTAGGATTACAGGCACGAGCCACCAGCACCTGGCAGGACTTCCTTCTAACACTGACTCAGACTAGACTCTCTTGCTTTCAGAAAAACCTGGCCTACTTAAAGGTCTACTTCCTGGGGCTTCATTTTATGTGGTATTAGCATAAATGACTTCATTTTGGTCTAGTTTGATCTGATCTGCTGGAGCCTAGAACAAGAGCTCAGATCAAAATAATGACCTTTAATAATATATGTTCAAGAAGATACAACAGGCCATGTACAGTGACTCAAGTTTATAGTCAAATCTTAGTCACCTCAGAGGCAGAGATCAAGATTGCAGTTCAAAGCCAGCCTGAGCAGGGACACTTATCTGCACTTAACTATTAGAAAACAGGAAGTGCCACTGTGGGTTCAAAGTGGTAGAGTGCTAGCCTTGGGCAAAGGAGCTCAGGGACAGCACCCAGGCCCCCAGTCCCGGCCCCTCCACCAACAACAACAACAATGACAAAACACTATCTTCAAATACTGCATCAGTCAAAATCCAAACTACAAGAAGAAAATCAACCCAACAATCATTTAAGGAGATCAGCAAATCCAGAAGGGTGAACAGAACACAGAAGAACCAGAGAGTATCACTAGACGACTACTCTTTATACAGAAAAGTCATCTAAAATTAGATTATAATTATTATTGTTACACCTTTATTCCTTTTTTATGCAAAGTCTTACTCTGTTGTCCAGGCTGGTCTTGAACTCCTTGGTTCAAATGATTACCCTCCCATCTCCTGTATCCACTCCTCAGCCTCACAGGTAGCTGGGACTACAGGTGTGTACCACAGAACTTTTACCCTTTTGCTATATGTTGACAGTATCCCAAGTATTAAGCAATTCAAATGTATCAAATCATTGCATTCTCTCAACAACTTTCTCAAGTAGGTCACACACTAAGAATAAGATGCATGTATTAATTCCAGCAGTTCATCTGCACTGTAGTAGACAGAAAGGTAGAACTGAAATGAAAAGCTTAATAAAGGTGTCACTTATAGCTGCTAAATTCAAAGAACTTGTTGACAGCACCTGAACTCAATCTCCAGTTATCTTAGACAATACTAGAAGCCTACCAAAAGCTGAAGGAAATTTTCCTCTCTCTGTAAGGAAACAATGAGCTCAATGTTCCTTTTTTTTAATGCAGATGAAACAAATCTAGATTCTTCAGGCAACCATGACAACTCAAAATTGCAAATAAACTCTTAAGTTACACTGGAAGCCCTTTTCTCTGTGCCTCACTGGAAATAAACCTTTAACTTTACCCTTCACCTGGCTGCCACTCATTAAAAGCTTGAAAAACAGAGGCAGGGCCATGCCTGTAATCCTAGCCACTCAGGAAGCTCAGATTGGAGGATTGCAGTTCAAACCCAGCTTAAGCAGGAAAATCCGTGAGAATCCTATCTCTATGCACCAAAAAAGCCAGAAGTGGAATTGTGGCTCAAGTGGTAGAATATTAGCCTTGGGCAAAAAAGCTCAAGGAGAGCTCTCAAGCCCCCAGTTTAAGTCCCAGGACTGGCGCATGCCAGTCTACTCTCAGATTTGCAATGGTGGGCAGAGAATACTGGGTAGTATGGATTTGTCACTGTGAAAGAGTGATCATAGCTATACATTTATTAAGAGTCAGGATCTATGTCGCCTTTCATTGAATTGGAGTGGGCTTTTGGCTCCTTCAACAAATATGTACAGCAGAAGTAAGATTAAAAGGATGAACCAATGCAGCAATGATACTCACTAAACTATACAACTTGTAAGTGGGGAGGGGAGGGGAAAAAATGGGAGCGAGCAAGGGAAGGGGTGACATTGTCCAAAAAGAAATGGATTCTTTACCTGACTTATGTAACTGTAACCCCTCTGCACAATAATAACATTTAAAAATTAAAAAATAAAACTAAAAGAAGTGACGCCATGTAACCTTTGAGCCTAGGTCATAAAAGCCAAGTAGCTCCTGCTTAATTCCCCCAGGCTTTGACTTTGGGGGCCCACGCTCCTGGAATTCAACCACCATACTGAGAGAAACCCAA